CTGGTGAGACGGGCCCTGACCGCGGGCCACGGCCCAGTGTGCAGGACCCCCAGGACCCCGAGGGCAGGGCAGGGCGGGGCGGGCCCTTGCCGCGCGTGTGGGTGTGGGAACACAGACTCCGAGTCTGCGGCTTTGCTCCGGGCTCCGGCAGCAACCTCAGAGCACCTGCAAGCCTCAAACCCACGCAGATGTCCACAGAAACAGCCTACGTGTGTCCTTACAAACACTGCGGAGAAGGGCGACCGCCAGGCACTGACCCTTCTTTTTCAAAGAAAAGTTTATAGGAAAGCCCAGTATCCGAGATGAAGGAGGGGTGTTCTGGTTGGAGCAGGCTGAGAGGCCGACACCGGAGGGTCAACGCTGGCCACGTGGGATCCAGCCTCACCTTGTCCATGGAGCCCAGTGTTTCACCCCTCGGCAGCTGCTTCATCCTGAAACATTCCTGACCCTTCCCTTATCACTCCGCTGTTATAAATAGACTCACTTAAGAGGCAGAAGGGTGGCTAGTCACTGATGTATTACATAATTACAGATAAAGGAAGAGCTGAGAACCAAGTTCCAAAAATCGTGGGAACCCACTTTACATTTCCGCCGCGGCTTCCCATGCTCCGCACCCCTCCTCACTAACGAAGTCTTCAGCCCTGACAGCTTTGGTCAATTATCCTCATTAAGTCGGCCCTCTACAATAAACAGATGCTTGGCTGACTGCCTTGGGTTTTACGAGACCGGGGAGTGTGGTTTGCGTGTGTAAGACACCGACGAGAACGCTCGGTACGTTTACTTGTGCACGAGTACCCTGCCTTCTGTCACAGGGAGGGGGAGGGGTGGAATGGAGTTCTGGCGCAGACACGCCCGGGTTCAAGTCTGACCTCTGCCGGGTGCTCGCTACGTACTCTTAGACAAGTTCCCTCGTCCCCTGGTCCACTGCTCCCGTCTGGTGGGACTGGTGGAAAAACGGAATGGGGGCGCATGGAGAACACAGAGGAGGTGGCCAGTTCACATCAACTGTTCTTGCTTTAAAAAAATGGAAAAATCAGGTTAAAACAGTGAAACAGATTATTATTATTATTTCCTGTAGGGCATGTGTGCTCATTCGAGAGACAGAGTAAATGAGAGAGAGGGAGAGAAAGAAATGACCCCTGGGGGTTGGCCACACCACAGTCCCTTCTCCTCCAGTCTCCTCTCAGGGTTTTGGGCACGCATGCACGCACTTACACACGCCCCGTGTGATGTTCAGGCCACTGCCTCGGGGACGTGTTCTACTCCGCTGGCCATGGAAGATCCAGTGCCTTGCCTAGCACGCCACCTGCTGGCCCTGAAAGAGGTGTTAAGTACAAGGTGTTAGGAGTCACTTGTTGGAAAACACTAGTTCCTTGTTTCAAAACCCTTCTGTGGCTTAGCCCGCAAAGATTCATTAGGACTTAAGGGCCTAGCACTGCCTCAAGTTCCGAACAGCGCATGATGTACAAAGTGAGACCCGACGGAGGGTCAGCAAGTAGGGCCGTGTGCAGACTCGGTGCGCAGCACCACGGACGGTGCTCGGTACTCGGTACCCAGCAGCCCTGCAGGGAAGGGCCAGGCCAAGAGAGCCGCTCTCTCAGGGGAGAAACACGACTACCGTCTAGCCCTTTGAAGTGGCAGTAATACGCCAGACAGTATGCTTTGCCGTCTGCCTTTGGAGACGTTTAATCCTCACATAGACCTGAGAGGCGGGTTCGAACATTACCTCCTGCAGAGAACACAGTCCACGCCTCCGGGAGCCACGGCCCCTTAGTGCACGCTGAGGTTTAGACGGCTGCTTTCCCGTGTTCAATGCACACGTTATTTCTTATGCTGGGTCACTACGTCCTTGCCGTGAACAACCCTGGACCTGTTTCCTTTCACAGAGATTCGCCAACTGTGATGCTGAGTCCTCCTCTCAAACTTTCTACTAAATTGCCCTCCTTCAAAAACACTGAGGTATGATTGACTGCGTACTGTTCTGAGGTTTGTTGAACGCTTTCAGT